GGCTTCATTTAATCCAAAGTGTTCCCCTCCGCCTTCCAACAAGAACTGGAATCAGCTTATGGCAGATGCAGTCAACCACTTTGAATCGCTTAGCAAAGACTTCTTGTTTACATCCAAACGAATTTCCGTTCGCTACTCTTGCTTACATTAATGATAAAATAACAGTATTAATAAGTAGACCCTATTTATCTTGTATTTTTACAAAGTATTAACTGCTGAGCTTTATCAAAAAAATACGGACGTGCATCAGGGAAACGTTGGAAGGACGACGCCGTTATGTGTTGTTTTTACAGTAAGCTGTTGGGATTTACAGTGAGTGGACACAATGTTATTTTATCATGGATATTTCAGACTATGCTTCCGAAAATTAGAAAATGTAACTTTTTTTACTAACTTGAAAAAATTTTTCTAAATTTTCATAAAGGCAACGTTCGTAAGATTTGAAGGCTAATTTCTCATCTGCAGTTTAGCTGGCCATTTGTTTCCGAAATTTCAAGCTTGCAACTACTCTGGTCATCGAGTATCACTACTTGAATTTTTGTCTTAACAAAAAAGTCAGGATACAGAGTGACTTGGAAAAAAATTAAGACTCTTTATATTGTTCATTGTCGTAAATTACTTTGAGAAACTTTGTTTTACTAGTTGGAGATCTGTAAGCAGATTTGCTATCGGCTTAGTGTGTTTTGCTACGCAATGATGATAAAAAGAATTGACTAAAAACAAAAAAAATAACAGTGTTGTAAATGCCGACGCCGGAAGTTTCCCCTTTCGTTGCATATAGTTTCGCATGCATGTCCACATTTCTGTCCCATGATCCGTGAAGATCATAAGACATCAGGAACAAAAGATCGAAATTTCTGCAACAAATTGTGCAGAAATTTGGCCATTTTTTTCTAGACACTTTTCTACTTTGGATTATCAGGAACTACGTTGACAATACGGTAAAAGGAGGAACAGTAGCAAACAGACGGTACATAACTGTTAAATGGCGAGCGCTATATTAAGCAAACAATGAGAAACTCATAAGATACGTGGCTGGGAGCTACGGAGCGGTCAGGTTGCTCTGATTTTATAAAGAGGGACACATTGAAACAGCCACAACTCAAAATATCAGAGTAAGCTATTTTGAAAAAAATTATAAGAAAAATACTTTATACAAATATGCTTAAAAAGCAGGCTTTTACTTTGCGAGTGACGGGACGTCGTAGCCGCCATCAATTTTGTCTTTTCCCGCGGCTACTGCTGCAGTGAGCAGCAGCTGTTCTTTTTTGGTTCTTTTAGCTTCATCCACAAAACCATTTTTCAGTTCCTGGAAAGCTTTCAACGAACAATCAGTGAAAATAACTGGCAAAAGCTTGAACGACAAGAGTGTTGTTGGCACAGCAAACCTCAACAAGTTTGGCGTGATCCTTGGCGACTCCGAGCGGATATTCCCAATCCAAATCAAAGCCATCAAAGTTATTTTTCCGTAAGAAATCTATAGCCGATTTAACAAAATACTTTCGCTTATTAGCATCTCGCGCAATTGCCTACAAACACGTCAGTTGTATAATACTGGCGGCAAGCTCGTTTTTTTTTTCGAAATGAATTAATTTGTTCTGAAACTAGATGAAACCGCAGTGACGTGCCCATTTCGTTGACACCTTTGTGCTGAAGGCAATGGCGTACGGATGCAAAACGTGGTCGCTAACATAGGTTGAAGAGCGAGCACTGGCTATGACGAAGAGAGCGATGGAGCGAAGAACGCTCATCGTATCTTTTCAAGGCCATACAAACACAATCAAACTTTCGTTGCAAGATACCACTGAGACTAAATAAGGACGTAAAATCTCACAGGCCAAGCATGCTGCTGCCTGCCGACCACCTGTGAACACCATGCATTAGTGAATGGTACTTGCGAAAAAATAAAAGATCACTTCGCCAGCTTTTAGAAAAGGCGCGCATGACACGTCAGATGCAATAGATATTCACTGGAGGCATGCGGTCTCTGATCGAAAGTTCTCGCATATGAGATGTATCATCCCAGAAACATCAGATTTTTACCGCTCCGAATTTAAACTCTAATGCTTCCAGAATACCAGTGCAAAAGCAACAGCAGAGCAACGTTATTTTGCCTAATTTTTTTTTTTTTTTTTGAATGCCGAATTTCAAATAACCCAGGCTGGCACGCACCAGGCGGGCCGGAGCGATTATGCGTTTTTGCACTTTCGTACCGTAGCAAGATCGCAAGGA